ACGCACCCAGAGGCCAGGGATGGGGCTGGGCAGGGAGCCCCGAAGCCTAGGCCGCCCCTTCTCCTCCTGGCGCTGGGGCTCGGGGCTGCATCAGGCACGGTCCCCTCCCACACGTGGTCCCAGCCCCGCCGCCTCGCGGAGGCCCAGCACTCACGTGTCGCCGCAGCCGCCAAAGGCCACCAGCTGGTGTTGCATCTCCAAGGAGAAGGGGACTATCGTTACCAAGCCAAGGCCACCAGGCTACAGACACCACCAACCCCGGGCCCGGGCCCGCCAAAGCCGCCGCGGCGTCCCAGCCAGCCTATAGGTGGATTAAAAAGCGCAGGTCAAAAGTTATACCCGGATTTTCCAGTGGGAGGGGTAGAGGGCGGGGCTCCTGCCCCCACTGGTTCAAAGGTCAACTGCACTTCTTTCTTTTCATGCCTGAGTAATATTCCATTGTATGGATTACACCACAGTTTATCCACTCTTACCTTGATGGACGTTTGCATTATTTTCACCTTTTGGCTATTGTGAATGGTGTTTTCCAATCTTGTTTTTTTAAGCCTGCGTGGTCTGTCAGATCGTGAAGAATGAAGTATCAGTGTCCTGGACCAGAAACCAGGACACAGGGTGGTCCTAGGGGTGATTGACAGCCACTAGCTAGTATAATACAGCAAGCCTTTTTACCTCCTCAGCTGAAACCTAAGAGGTTGAACCACAATTTTTGTGTAGGTAATTTATTTGGAAGGTGATTCTGAGTATCTAGTTAGGAGATGAATCCCCAGAGTGACAAAGGAAAGAGAGGAAGGAAGCCAACGAATGTAGTGCACCTTTATGATCACGTTCCTGCGTTGGACAACCAGGGTTCGGTTCCACTGGGGACCTCTATATGGACACTATATGGAACAGATCTTAGAGCTGTCCTACCCAGTGGGCAAGGGAGCCGGGGTATCTATCCACTAACTCCTGTCTGTCACTGATGAGCACTGCTCACAAGCTATCCACTTTGTGACCCTTCTGGCCTCCCCCTTGTGCATGTTAAGAATGCTCTAGAAGGCCCTCAGACAGTGCCATGTGCTTATAGTAGGACACTTTGGGCATACACGGAAGGATGCATGCAATTTGCAGTTGAAGTGCAGTGGTCATTGACGATGCATGTTAGAAGGATTATCAAACTCTGATCCTCAAATCCCTGGGCGCTCACAGTTTAATGAGACAAATACAGACTTTTTTTTTTTTTCACCTTTGTTGAATCTTTGCCCGAAAACTGCTTTAGTTTCGATAATCTTCTTGGAAAAGGGAAGAGATATACATCCTTTCTCCTCCTAATCTTCAAAACTTGAAAGAGCAGACTCGGGCTGAACTTTACTCGGCTGAACTTTATTAACTTTATTAAGTGGATGTATTACTACTCCAATCCAGGTCTCAGTTTACCCTGTATGTGAAGCTATTTCTTTAAAAAATATATTTTTATTGAAAATAAATAAATTTCAATTTTATTGAGAATAAAACAAAGATACAGGAAACCACACAAAATTAATGTATGGCTTAGTGAATTATTATAAGACAAATGCTTTAATAACCACCACCCAGGTGAAGAAATAGAATTTTGCCAGATACCCTACAAGTCACAAAATGAAGCTATTTGCCAACTAAGGTCTCTTCCTTCCAAAATGTACAACTCTGTATTTTTATAATCAGCTCATTTGTAACATTCAGCCCGGCCCCAAAATTCTATGATAGTATAAACTGTATATTAATCATTATGTGAATCAGATAACGACTCCCACACATAAGCCCTCCCACGAATTCCCACTGACTTGGGAGTAAAATCCAGAAAGTTTACTGTGACCACCAAGACCCAAAAGGATCAAGCCTTTCCTCCTGTTTCCCAGTACACTCCAGCCACCATACAAATCACCTCTATGTTTCTCCAGCATGTAAAACTCATACCCACCTCAGGGCTTTTGCACTTGCATTTTCCCTTTGCCTGAAATGCTCCTCCCGAACTCCTCCCATCTGACTCTTTCTTGTCATTACAGTCTCAACTGAACTGTCACCTCCTCAGGGAGGTCCTCCATGACCACCTCATTTAAAGTAGTACACCAGTCACTCTCTCACATGATTTCATTTGTTTCCTTCATAGTAGTAATCACTCCGAAATTATCCAGCTTATTTATGTTTGTGTATTTGTTTATATATCCATCTGCCGCACAGGGCCCTTCAGCTTTGCAAAAAGGATTGACATTGTGGGTTATTCCTTTATCCCCAGCACCCAAAACAAAGCCCAGCATAAATTGGCTCTCCACAAATATTTGTGGACCAAATACCACAGAATGAACTCATTCTATCTCTCTGTCACAATGACATTTGCATCTCAGTGGGGAGAGAACACAGGGATGTCTACCAAAAAAGATGGACAAGTCTGCGAACATTGTCAGTGTTATTTACATCGCCCAGGCAAATTTCAGAAGGCCTGGTAGAAATCCAGGTAGGCCAACTAAAAAGCAAGCTTACAACTCTATCCCAACAGCTCACACACACTGCAGTCTGTCTTAGTCTGCTATAAAAAAGTACCACAGAGTGAATGGCTTAAACAACAGAAATGTACTTTTCCATAGTTCTGGAGACTGGAAAGTCCAAGATCAAGGTTCTGGCAAGGTTCCAGCTCTGGTTCTCTTCCTAGCTCGCAGATGGCTACTTTGTCCTCACCTGGCCTTTCTTCTGCATGTGCATGGAGAGAGAGGATGGGGAGGTGGGGAGATCCAGGGCCCATGCTTTTTACCTGGTTATCTTATCTGAGCCAGAGCAGAAGTATTAAAATTTTCTTCACGCATGAAAGCCTCTGCATAGCTCAGATAAAGGGTCCACAGCTTACGTGTTCTTTCTTACCTCTCAAGTTGTTTGGAAGAGAACCCAAAGCTCAACATCCTCATGTCCATGGCCTCCTCATTGCCTAGCGTGAGTAAGAAAAACAGCTCAAAGAATGTATTCTGCGTTATCCACTGGCCTGGCTTAAGTCCCTTCTGGGCACCAGTAGAACCCCTTGCCTAGTTGAATTATTGCCTTTCTGTGAGTCTGTTTCCACCTTTACTCTGTGGATTCCTTTGGGGCTGGAATCATGTCTTATTTATTTTTGTCTTAAAGTTTGTTTTTAAATTACAAAAGTAGTACATCCTCACAGTAGAAAAAATTTCAAACAATAAAAAAGAGAAAGTCCCCTTTTGATCTGTCCCTGTTTTCAATCCCACTCCTCTCCCCAGACTGGACCACTATTAACAGTGTGTTGTATATATTTCCAGAACTTTCCATTCACAAGAATAATGATGCCAATAAATGTGCTAACGTTTGTTGAATGTTTACTGAGTCAGATGCTATGCTAAGCACTTTCCGTGCATGTTCTCAATTAATTCACAAAACAAGCCTATAAGGTCGGTGTTATTTTATTTCCTATTTCACAAAAGAGGAAGCCAAGGTGACAATTTTTTTACAAATGTGGTAAAGCCAGAATTTAAACCCAGGCAGGCTGACTTTAGGGATCATGCTCTTAACCTCTATTGTTCTGCCACTTGCTGTGGGATTTGGAATGTCATAGACACTTCTCCATAGTTACCCACAGAATTCTCTTTCCTCCTTTTTTAAAGTTGCTCAGTATTCTATAAAATAAATGTGTTTCATTCATTTTGTCATTCCATTGACACACTTTTTAAAAATTTGCAGTTTTTCATTGGCTTATTTCATCAAATCTAAGATTCCATTGATTGTAAGAAGCACCTAGTTTCAGAGAGATTAAAATGTGAAATAAAATATGAATCTTAAAAAAAGGGCATCTTGGAATTAACGTAATATGGCATTAGAGACCCTGCTGCAAATGAACATGCATCCATATAATTGACATGTAGAGTATATTTCTGCAGAAGTTCCCCGGAATTAAAATTGTGCACTAAGATGAAGGTGCATTTTTTATTTTGATAGACACGACCAAATCCCCTCCAGGAGACCATTTCTTAGTCGTCTGTCTCCCACTTACTTAGCACAATACCTGACACTTTGTAGGTATCAAATAAATGTTTGCTCAGTGGACAAAATGCATGAGCTGGCCCAGCAAATGCAAAGCATTCTGAGATACTCACATGCGAAACAAAACACAAAAACAAGAACAAAAAAGCTCCCCCACCACCAAAAAAAAAAACAAAAAAACAAAAAACCACGACAGTGACTGACAGCGAGATTAGAATATTTTAGGACCACAATGTGTACACAGTTCTTGCTAAAGCACTGGCCACAGTGACAAACACTAATCAGTAAATTATTTTTATGCAGAATGTTGTGTCCAAAGTGATTATAAAATAGCTTACAAAATTATCTATCAAAAGGCTGTGCACTTTAAAAATACACTAATAACTCGCGCGTTTTATAACCCCCAAGCCTGCTAGTAAGAAATTTCCAGAACTCTTATGGTCTGACATTTAATCAAACACCTGCAAGATTACTTGCATCAGAATCACCTGGAGTGCTTATTAAAATGCACACCCCCCTCCAGAGCTTCGGAATCATAATTTCCGGGGATTAGGGCCGGGGAATCTGCATTTTATGCAGGCGGTGCTTCTAAGGCACTCAAAAGTGTGGGAGCTAGAACATTAACAGGCTTTGATCGGATGAGTCTCTTAATTAGATGAGCACTTTAAACGAGCTCTTTGGCTGTCGAGTACAGAATCAACCGGAAGTGGGCAAAGATATCTAAAATAGTTAACGGCATCACTCATTCCAGCGCGGGGAGAGGGACCCAGACAGCCCGCCCGCTGGCACGCCCCCTGCCGGCCTTCAGCAGCCTGGGTCCCGTCGTAGCAGCCGACTGCGACTGCGCGCTCCGAGGGAGGCCTCCTCAGGGTGCGGCGACCCAGCCAATCCAGACCGGAAGCGGGACTGCCGAATGCGATTCGCCGGCCGCCGCCGCCCCCACCCCGGATCCCGACTGACTCACAGACGCGCCGGAAGCGGAAGTTGCTAAGAGGTGGGGGAGCTGTTGGGAAAGTGTTGGGTTGTTTTCGGGCTTCTTGGGCTTAAGCGCGGTTGGGTAATCTCGCCAGTTCTTCTCACCCGCCTCAAACCGGTCCCCGGCCCGCAAGCCTCGCCCGAGGGGTGTGGTACTCGACTCCTTCCCCGGGGGCCGTGGGACCCGCTGGTTGCCCGAGTCCCCTGCCCCTTCCCTGCAGTGAGGCCCCGTCCGGCTTCCCGGAGTCCCCGCAGAGCCCCGCCATGGGTAACACGAGCAGCGAGCGGGCTGCGCTGGAGCGGCAGGGCGGCCACAAGACGCCGCGAAGGGACAGCTCGGGGGGCGCCAAGGACGGGGACAGGCCCAAGATCCTGATGGACAGTCCCGAGGACGCCGACCTCTTCCACTCCGAGGAAATCAAGGTGAGGGCTGAGGGAATCCGGCTCCCCTGGACTAGTGTTGAGGGGAGGAGCCCTCTCCTAGATTTCCCCGCCACATCCCCTCTCAAACTCATCATAAGTGGGAAGGAGGTGATACTTAACTCCGTGCACTTAGAAGCCAGATGGCCCGGTAAGAGCCCTCTTAGCAGTCCAGGAACCTGTGTCTACTTACCGATGAGAAAGTCACCCCGAGGGAGGAGGAACGCACTTCGTTTAACATCATTAAGGCGAAAGCAGCTCTGGGACAGCGTTTCAGATTCTTAAGATCGTTGAGCTAGCAGCAGGTGAGCCCCAGTCTCTGCTCGCCTCTTAGGTATAATTAGTTTCACTGCTTTGAGAAATTTTTCCTCACCTTTACGAAAACTGACACTTCTTGTAATAGCTGGCTTTGTAGTTTATTGTCGATTTTGGAGATAACCCAGAGCACACGTGTAAGCCGAAAGTAGAGTTACACAGCTGACTGTAGTTGGCAGAGGTGTTTCATTCTAACAAACTTTTGGTTCACCAAGCCACTTTAGAGCAGACATAGAAAAGTAAACCCACTTTTGGAGGTCAGTGGGTGAGTGAAGCGTCGGTCTGAAAGGGGGGCAGCCAGTTGCTACTCACCCTCTCTCTCCTATTGTGTAAATATGACTTAAGATTTTAGACCAAAGCAAACATTTTTGCAAGCCAAATTTGGACATCTTACCATGGTCTGCTGTAATTCATCAAAACTTTGAAGATGAATCTTGACTCCTGCTTCAGCCACATGCGTGCTACCTGATGGGGTCTTGTGTTTCCAGCTGCAAGGCCCATGCCTGGTGTCCAGAACCACGGACACTTAGTGGTTCTGGCAGCTGATAAGTATGTGGTAGATCCTAAGAAAGGAAGAACTGATCCCTTAAGGACAATGCAACAGAGTAGGTTTAGGAAAAATCAAGATGTCTCCCCAGCCCAGCATACTCTCTGTTAGTGTCCAGTTGCATATTAATCGTCATTGCCCATTAGGCTGATTGCCTGGCAACTCATTCCACCTTTACTCGTATTTTTTCTCAGATGTTGGGCTTGGTGATCACATTATCTTAAATCCTCACTTGGATCTTGGCTTTGAGTCTAAAGAGTCTTTTACTGGGCCTTATGTCCTGTGATTTGCACTTGCTTTCTGAATTTGTTGCATTCCTGAGGACCTGTATGCAAAGTGAACTTTGGAATCCTGTTTCTCCAGTAACTTGATATCCTTTCCCCCCAGAAATAATTGTGGCCCAAGGACGGCTATGTAAGATACCATAAGAACCAAACTACTTTATTCTAGAAGTAACTGTTCTGTTGCTGTTCCAAAATTCCTACAAGAAACGTTTAGCATACAGAGAATCTGTGGACAATGATTTTAAATAGTATCCATTATCACTTCCTCAGAAGTTACTGAAACGATGTAGCAGAGACACTGGATTGAATGCCCTATATTCCCAAAAAAGTCATGGATTATTTTAGCTACACTAGTTCACCATTTTGGCTGTGGTTAGTTATCACCTTCTCAGTGGCAAGTGAGTCCAGTCTGTTATTTTTTAATCTGTAGATCTTGTTCTCTCTTAAAGCAGGCGTCATTCAAGATAAGCTCTGGTCAGGGCGCCTGGGTGGCTCAGTCGGCTAAGTGCCTGCCTTTGGCTGAGGTCATGATCCCAGGGTCCTGGGATTGAATCCCATGTCGGGCCCCCTGCTCAATGGGGAGTCTGCTTCTCTCTCTCTCCCTTTGTCCTGCCTGCCTGCTTGTGCACTTTCTCTTTCTCTCAAATAAATAAATAAAATCTTAAAAAAAAAACAAAACTCTGGTCAGTATTTGAAATGAAGGTCTTAGAAGCTCACTCGTCGACACCTTTAAGGGTCTGTCCCAGCCTGGAACTCCCACTCTTTTAATATCTTTGGCTTTAATATCTTTGGCTCTTTTAATATCTTTGGCATCTGACTAGTAAATATGTAAAAGATCCAAAAGCACATGTATTTCCCCCAGAGTTGGATGTGTTTATTTCTTAGTTTGGAATACCTTAGTTATACATCACTTCCTGCGCTTAGAAGCCATTGTTTGCCATATGGAGGGTCAGTCTCTGTCTTATCTTTTTATTCCCAATGCCTGAACAGCACTTTGAATATTTTTTTCCCTTAGAATCTGGATTTGTGAGTTTTCAAGTTGACAGCTCTGGAATTGTTCCTAATAAATTTTCGTGTACTTCAAATCTTGTTAATTAAGGGAAGAAAATGACATTTATCTATCTGGTCTTGAATTCATTGCATCCTCTTCCAAGTGAGTTCTGTAGCTTCTACTAAAATTTTGGTGTAGATCTCTTTAATCACAACAGTATTAACAGCTAATAATTATTAAGTATACACTATGTGTCAGACACTATGCAGAGCAATTTACATGGACCCTCTCAGTCTTTCACAACAACCTTAAGAAATAGTTCCCTTTGTTATCTCTGTTTTCCAAGTGGAGAAACCAGCGCACCGCTATTAAGTTAATGAGCCTGAATATGAACCTAAGTAGTAATCGCTGTCTCTTTAGAATGAATTGTCTACATTAGGGTAACTGTCCATTGTAGGGAGCTCACTAATGGCTTCCTGTCCCTGAGTAAACTGTTCCGTTTCTAGGCTCCAGAGAAGGAGGAATTCCTGGCTTGGCAGCATGATCTGGAGGTGAATGATAAAGCCCCTGCCCAGGCTCGGCCAACAGTATTTCGATGGACGGGGGGCGGAAAGGAAGTTTACTTATCTGGGTCCTTCAACAACTGGAGTAAACTTCCCCTCACAAGAAGGTAACTGCCTGGGTAGTATTCACATATTTGTCTTAATCCAGGGTTATTGTGGTTTCTAAATGGGGAATAGAAAACAAAGTTTTTATAAAATGGATGCTCAATGGAAAATAATTCTGCTTAATAATTCACAGGGTTCACATCTCACTCCCAGTTAGTCTCTAGGTTTAGAGCACACTTAGAAGAAAACATTTCTCAGTAATGAGATTTCATGAACATCTTTGACTTCAGATATGCAGCTATATGTTTGCTTAGGTGGGACATCTCCTGCAGAAAGAGAGAAATCTATTCCTAGTGGAGAGAGAGCACTGAGCTGGGAATCTTCAAGACCAGGATTTGAGTCCACATTGGCTGAGCTAACGTCTTGGTGACACCTGAGTTCCAGTGTTTGTATCTGTAAGAAGGGAATATTGGACAGATAATCTCTGAGGTTCCTTCTAACTTTGCCTCTCTGTGTATTACTTTTGTTTGGAAGGTACCTGTTCTTTAGGCATCATTAGCAAGACCATAGTAAAACACATGATCAGGAATCCTAGCATGGACTTCTGTCTCAAACTGTCATTGGAAAAGCATTTTCAGGGCACCTGAGTGGCTCAGTCGTTAGGCATCTGCCTTCAGCCCAGGTCAGGATCCCAGGGTCCTGGGATCAAGCCCCGCATCAGGCTCCCTGCTCAGTGGGAAACCTGCTTCTCCCTCTCCCACTCCCTCCGCTTGTGTTCCCTTTCTTGCTGTGTCTGTCTCTGTCAAATAAATAAATAAAATAGAAAAGAAAAAAAGCATCTTCACTAGTGAGTGTTCTTGATGAAACAGAGGGAGAGATTGTGCCCTGCTGCGTCAGGCCTGATTGCTGTCCCAAACCATGTGCTTTCCCAGGGCTGATATCGGTGTAGGAGGGAGACACTCAGCACAGTTACAAGTCCTTTTAAGTTTGGGGAACAAAACAGAGAGCTTTCCTAGAAACTTGTCTTAGTAAGGAAGCAAGTTTCTTTAGAGACCTATTTGTGGATCCTGTGGAATCGGCCCCATCTCCTGCCCAAGGCAGACTGACAAAGACTAAAAAACTCTGCAGCATGCAGTTTACCTGGAGCTGTTCTCCTCCTTGGCATGAGTGGTATTTTGCATGCAAGCTGAAAAGAACATGTGCCTGATTGTTGACCTTTTGCTGGTAGGAAGGGGGATTATTCCTGCAATTGAGCAAAGTGAGTCCTCCAGGAAACGTCTTGCATTGCTGCTTCCTTACAGCTTTTCTAGTTTGGGATCATTCTACTGAATTGTCTAAAGTGGTTAAAAATGTTTACTCTTCTGCAGCTGAACTCTTGGTTTCACATGGAAAGGTCGGGTTTTGTTTGATGGCTGATTTAAAGATTTTATTTATTTATTTGACAGATAGAGTAGGAACACAAGCAGGGGGAGTGGGAGAGGGAGAAGCAGGCCTCCTGCTGAGCAGAGAGCCCGATGTGGGACTCGATCCCAGGACCCTGGGATCATGACCTGAGCTGTAGGCAGACGCCTAACGACTGAGCCACCCAGGCACCCCTTGATGGCTGATTTGTCGGTAAGCTTAGGAGGGCAGCTCACCCAGCTGAAATCCTCTGCTTCCTTTTCCCTTGCAGCCACAATAACTTTGTAGCCATCCTGGACCTGCCTGAAGGAGAGCATCAGTACAAGTTCTTTGTGGATGGGCAGTGGACGCATGACCCTTCCGAGGTACTCTTCCTCCTGCCATTGGTCCTCTGACTGCCTGCACAATCCAAACAAACTACTTTCCCTTATCGATTGTGCCAGGTCCCTTTGTCCCGCCGGTAAAATCCCCGTGTGTGGCTGAGCTAGATAGCAGTGCTGGTTGTCAGACTTACGGGCAAACCTGATGGAGATGAGCAGATTGGCTAGCCCAGAGATGAGACCTTCCAGCCAGGAAGTCTAAATCCTCGAGAGAATAACTCCAGAGACCTTGCACGTTATGATTTCTGCCTGTCTGTCTCTTCCCAGCCAATAGTAACCAGCCAGCTTGGCACAGTTAACAACATCATTCAAGTGAAGAAAACTGACTTTGAAGTATTTGATGCTTTAATGGTGGATTCCCAAAAGTGCTCCGATGTGTCTGGTATGAACACAGTTATTTTATACCACATGTGTGCAGGTGGGGGCTATGCAGTCTAGAAATACTCTTATTTCTCTTGCCTCTCACTCTTGAGCTCAAGTTGCTGCCCAGTTGGGTAGATGTTTGTAGTTCCCTAAAGAGCCACAAAAGTAATTCCTAACTCTGTTCGATCAGGTTGTTGAAATCCAGCCCCAAGGGAGCTGTAAGTCATTTTTTTTGGTCCTCTCCAGTATTCAGTAGGTCTGCTTAGCCACAGAGAGCAGACCATGGAAACAGAACCAGAGCTTGATCTCGTGCCAGGGGCAGGGCCCTGGAGGTCCTGGAGAGTTGCGTTGGGTCGGTGATGAGCCAGCTCAAGGGAAGCCTGCCAGCTCCCTACCCACTCCTGACTCGCTTGGGGTGCCTGCCTAAAGAGTTTCAGCCTGGCAGGTGGTAAATGGACACCTCTGTGACTTCATGGGGTGTATTAGCATCTTCTCAGAATCCCTTGCGGGGGGAGACAGGCTCATCACAGGAAACAGGCTAACTGTGCAGCCTACTCAGTACCAACCTAGTAAAACTTTATCATCTCCCAAGAATCAGCCAGTCATCAAGCTTTCAGTAAATTGCTTTCCATCCAAACCCACAGGAAGAAACGTAATACATAGAATTCAGGGGCAATGATGTGTTGTAATCTTTTTTTTTTTTTTTTT